AAGCTGATATTTTTTTGCCATGCTCTGTCTCAATTAAATCTTTGTATACTCTTCCGTCATTATTCATGTACTTAACAAATTTTCCTTTTAATTTTTCTTCTAACACGTACACATGATGACTATTGTTGTCTTGTATCATATAACATGGAATGATTCTGATAAGAAACATTAACAACAATGTGTTCAGTAAATAACATTAAAAAAATCTACATTATCATCACTTTTCATTCATGTTCACAACTTGTAATGACAACATTTCACATCTTTGAGTGGACGCCAGAATATGTTGCATGATGTGTTTATGAAAATTTTAAATAAATTGATCAGTAAAGGTAAGTCTGACACTAGAACCATTAAGATTTTCAGGAAATTAATCACAACAAAGTTTACAACATGAAGATAATACTGCATATGGTACTTGTAATACAATTACTGAATGTATATCACATCTCATTTGATAATACCTTGGCGCTTCTCCAAACTCTTTTGGGATGACGTCTTTGAAATTTAAAGACAACATTCTTGCTGACATTTGAGATTGCACTTCCTGTATGAAAAAGAATATGATCAAAATTAGATCCCATTCCACAGCCAATTAATTTTAAGAGCTGAAAAACTTTCCTAATAATAACAAAAAAAAGTTAATGACTAGATATATGATAATTTAATTGAGAAAATAATGGTTACAATTCACTATATTATTAAAAAGTTACACTTAGTAGTATAGCTAAAAACCAGCAATACAGGAAAAAGTCTTTACCTTTTTAGTCATAGAGATGATAGCTTCATTCTTCGATTTTGATAAATGCGGCTTATAGTGGATTTCATACATTGTTCTTATTGTTGAATCCTTGTAAGTCTTAACCACATAGGCCAGAGTTGTGTCCAACACATTTGATGACAACAAGTCACAGTTATAACAGTTTCTCATTCCCCCTTCTCCAATTAAGGAAGTTACTCTGTATTTGATGGGAAAGGAGGTTTCCTTCCATTTTATCCCATCAGATGTTATTTGCACTAAATACAGGGAACCAGTAGAATCTAGTGATAAAATATTCAAAAACAAACATACAAGTTAATTCACACTTCCATATACTGTAAAATGCTTTATGTTTGCTTTTAATTTTTTTTCATTATTTTCACTAAATTATTTTCATAAAATTCAGCGAATATACCTTTTTTCCTATATTTTACATTCAGCAAAATCAATGAAAATAAACTGTATACTAAAATAAAGTAGTTAAAATTTATTATATTATATCTACTATATGCTCTCCACCATCTATATTAATGCTAGGAACTGGCATGCAAATGATAATATAATAAATGTAGCAGATTTAACAATAATCACTATATAGGTCTCTCTTTATGTATCTATAGCCTTGTTCACACTTGCTGACAAATGGAGGGCACTTAAGACTACTTTGTACATATTTCTTATCAGTGGGCTGAATCTCTATTCTGTTCAGCATCATATGTGGTAATTTATGTTTTACATGGCTTTCACACCTTTTCACCTAAACATTGGGTTGCTATCAGGGATAATTCCCAGTGTTTAACACAGAACTCAGGGTTAAGACTAGCCTTCTCACTCTGAGCTATTGGGAAAATCTTAATAATTAAAAGTAAATGAAAAAGAAATTATATTTCATTACATGACCTGATAAAGAATGTAATAACTAGTATTCTAAATCAACATTTTACTTACAGTTTTTCTCAAGAGGAGTACATTGCAGGCTTTTGCCAAACTGCATGAAATGAGTTAACCCTACTGCATAACAAAACAGTAATTCAATTTTAAATTTAGAACAATTTTCTTCTGTTTAACAGCTGCATGCTCCAAATAATTATAATAATAAACAATAACAAAATTGATTACTAAAATATATTAACTGATAATCCAACTATATGAAATAAAATCTGCAATAATGTTTATAAAATGACATAAAGCCGATCTGGATGTGAGTGAAACATGCAGAAAAAAATGAAATTGGTTTGCAGGTACTCAGTAAAAACAACAATTTATGTGAAACTTATAAAATAGTAAATTACGTTACCAATTTGAGTTCGAGCCAAATTAAATTGTTAAACTACTGAACATGTTACTGCACATATGTGCAATGCATTATGGGAGAGGAATGTTTTCAGTATATAATGGAAAATGAAATATCATAATGAATAACTTAATTATTTTTTTTTTTTTGCATCTTGATGGTTTGAACCCATAATAATGAGCATAAAAATATAATGGGAGTAGTAAGTATGAAAAAGATGACATAACAACAGGGGAAAACATACTGTATTCACTTATACCCAAGCTTTCAGATGATGTATAGGTTATTATAAATGACAGATCAATTTTTAACTCAGGTTTTCCCCTGTTGCTACATTAATAGCTTTTCAGAGAATAGCAATTTGATTAGTCTTTCAATGTACTGGTACACTAAGTTGCATTCCAACTTTGTATTCAATGCAGAACACATCTTACTTAGATACTGAAGGGGAAGTTTAATTTTAGTAGGGATTACCGGTAATATTTGAGATACCATATATTCACAGGACTCTAAAATCACAGGTTTGTGATAGAAACAATACATTTTAATGTTCATTAAATTAAAATACGGTAGTCAGTGAAGCTAGCAAGCATTGAAAATAGTTGTGAATCACCAAATCAAACATACCAAGAATTTTCATTATTGTATGCACACAACAGTGTTTATAATACATCAGAAAAATCTTCTAAATTTGATTTCAGGATTCTGTTGGACAATATTTCTCATGGATTGTACAAAATTCAAAGTTATTATCAATGCTAACAGGCGTCAGTGAGAGGGTTTCTACAAATCATACAAAGTGATAATGCAATATATATAGATATCTCTTGGTGCACCTTGTTCTATTTATGCAAGCATCTGAGGTATCGTGTAATGGCAATGATTTGATTCTAGTTGCTCAGATTTTGCGCTCCAACTTCGTTTAATAATCCAAGCTCAAGTTAAAGCTCAGGATGGTGCTCAGGTTTACTCTGAGCAAGCTCAAGTGGAAGATCATTACATAACTGAACATCTGGGTGTCTACATCCATGATCATGATCGATCATGTTTTGACCATCAATGACTACAATTGTTGACTATAATCATAACCGAGAATGATCTGATTCCAGAAACACGCATGGTCATTGATGGTAAAACAAAATCTCCATATTGTTATGTGAGCAGCAAACATGATCCTTCATGGTCTGCTAACATTTATAGTTGTTTTGTTCCTGTCCCTGTATTGTCTAGCTAGTGTCTTTGGACTGGCTATAATCCAAATAAATTATGGCTTACTTGATGACTTTGGTACATCTTCACTAAGAACAGCTCTCTTGACATCTGCAATACAACAAGTTCATTAGTACTTTGGTGAGATAAACACCAGACATGCCAAAGAAAAGGATACATTATATGTGAAAGAAAACAATTCATGCAGTATTGCAAAGTTAGTGTGGTTATTATGACAGCCGATACAATACAAAACATTATGTCTTCATGACTATTATGGTAGACACTTATATGAAAGACATGCTATTCAAACTTGAGCCAATTTTCTGAATGAGATCAGTCAAGTCATGCCAAAAATACAGCCCTGAAACAGAATCCATAAAAACCAAATAGTGAATGCTGACTTTTCAGGACAAGAATAACCACATCTTAATATTATAAATAGTTTAGGCCATCCACAATGTGATTCCATGCTTTATTTAGATGAGGCATTGTGCATTGATTGTTGCCTCTTCACCAATTGTTCTGTTCTGCTTAATTTGTTTTATGGTTTAATTTAACTTACGTGATAATTGTTCTATTTCCAGTGATTTGGTGTTGGATCTTCTTTTCACACCTAAATAATTTACCACAACTTAGCTTATTCCTTTTACACATTCATCTAAACTTCATCATTATGTATTATGTATATGCAATGTTGGTTTAGAATAATGTAATAATAAAAGAGAATTGCCTGTTATTTTCTTCCCAAAGCATTTCAAATTGAATAGTATTTGTTCTGCTCACCTCAATGTACTTTATTCACAATAATAAGATCAGGACAAAATAAAAACATTCTTACCGTGAGTTTGACTTAAATGTAACAGCTGTGCTGAAGCTGAATGTTCTGTAAGCGGAAACAAAAATAATCAAAATGAAATTTTATCTTGAAAGCTATTACATACAAAATAAGGCAAGTTTCATGGAACATTTATGCTATACTCATTGAATTTATGCTATACTCACCGTTTTCAACCACATATGGATTATTGCTATTAACTTCAGAACTTGTGGGTTGAAAAAGAAAAATGTATTAGATTTAATATCCAATGAGACAATAAAGATTTTTATGATTGATCTTGAATAAAAGTCAAATTTTCAAACGTGCCCCAAATAATATCATTATTTAAATCAAATGAATATTGCTGCACACATTACTTATAACTATATAGTTAATACCTTAATTTATCACATGTATCATGCACTTTCGGTGTAATAACACCCGTGTGATATTTTTGGTATTACACACTTTGAAAGTGACGTCACACTTTAAGTCTGTGATGTGATTGGCCAATACAGCTAATTTCACCTTTGACCTAATCAGCAAAGTTAGTACTGAATTATGCAACACTTATGATGAGGCAGATTTTAATGACAAATTATGTAGAAATTATTACATATTATACTTATTAGATTTTTAGATGCTATATAATCTCTGATTTTATCGCTGTTAAATAAACAAAATATTAAAGATATTAATCACAGTCTCAATTCTCCCAACCCGAAAATAGTTCGGGCATGACAATGTTTCGTCTGCTGTCAATCGTACAAATTTGCATCTCAAAGTAAACAAACCTTCAGCTGATCGAACGTTCAAAATCATGATACATATGGGCGACTTAGTCAATACTTTTGATATAGACGTGACAGAATTTATGAATGATGAGCAAGAAAGA